ACTGCAGAGAACTCCCCTAACCTGAGCCAGACATTTCAGAAATGTGTGTCATTGGTTACAGAGGTACCAAGGTGAAAGAATATGACTAGATTGTTTACTCTGTTAGCATCACTGGATTACATACTGGTTAGATGGAAGGTTTATAGTCTTTTCTTTGAATAAAAAGATAGCCAATGTGTTTATTTTATATATATTTATTAAATTAATATGTGTGATTTATTAAAAATCAAGGTGCTTTAATAAAACATAAGAAAGATATTTTGTATTATCTTATGACTTAGGGAAAATACCGGGTCACACTTTTGCTTAGGTGGAGTTTGGATGGTCAATGAAATGATTATACACTGTAAGTTTCAGGAGGAATAATGCTTATCCCCGGATAGAAATATTTACTATGATGTGTAGTAACAGACTGGTTAGGAAGAAAGGAAGAAGTAACACTGGAGACCATGGCAGGATGTCTGCTACTTCCAGTCATTGTTGGGTAGGATACTCGACTTCTTTGTGGCAAGGATATTCTGCCATATCTCTTAGGATTGGTGTAGGGATTCGAATATTAATGTGTAAAAACTCTTTGACAATTGTATGACAAATGTATATGTATCTATTTGTAGAAGGGCTGGAGATGGTTCATTGAAATTAAGTTATTCACTACATCCCACCTCCCTTTTTTATCCTACTTGGACAGTGCAAAGAACATGACCTGGCCATGATTAACCAGCTACTGGATGATCCGAAGCTGACAGCCAGAAAATACAGAGAATGGAAAGTGATGAACACCCTTCTGATCCAGGATATCTACCAGCAGCAGCTGGCCCCTGCGTCTGCCCACGAGGGCACCCCCCAGGGACGCGAGAAACCATCTGCCTCTGCCGGCCTTGAAAATTCTATTTGAGAACAAGCGAGGATTCTCTCGCCTTACACCTTACCCCAAGCAACTCTTCAAGATGTTGTAAGAGTTTTCCTTAAAAGGAAAACTGAAACCAGTTCGTCAAGCAGCAGCACCCTCTTAGGAAATGCAACTTAGGTGAGGACCAGCTTCGACAGCATCAGGACCCCGGCTTCCAGCCATAGAGCTTCCTTCAAGACTGGGCTGACTGAGTCCTGTTGAACAAGCATTGTGTTCCTATGGGAGCTCGTGGCTGTGCTAGACTTCTGGTGGCCTGTGAGAAATGTATCTTTTGTTCCTTGCTCTCTAGAGCATTACAACATTCCGTGGACAAAAGATATATTTTACCAGGGATAGTCAAAGAAGTGTTCTATTTTCCAAAAGACGAACGGACTTACTCCATCAGGTTGGGTAGTTGAGGTCTACAAATGAGTTTTTGAGAGGAGGGATCTTTTCTATACCAGCAACTGGAGCAGGACAGATTGGGTATTGTGGAATCAAATTCCCTTGCCTTTGGTCCAGAATGGGTTGAGAAATACTTCATAATGAGTGGGGTGTGGGAGAGCCCAAGGAGGAGGCGGCAGTTCTATGTTTCTCTCTCTCAAAGGACTGCTTGATATTTTCCCACCTTACCCAGGTGGGGGGATCTGATTACCTTTTCCTTTCCATAGCATAGCACCTCTAAAGAAATCTATCTCATTACACTTGGAGACCTCTCCTTCTTCCCAGCTTTTCTAAACCACTGTAGGAGATAGTAATAAGCCCAGCAAAGAGTATTTGCTGTTTCTGTCCTTGGGTGTGGTGCCTATGCACACATAGATTTATATCCAGTTTCCCCAGGCTCAATATTGACAACATGATTCTGGTGTCTCAGTTGTCTTAATATCTTTATTCCAAACGAAACAAACAACACAAGAGTTAAAACATGACGGTTTTATTTTTGTATGTTTATGTGTCACTTTGTGTCCTATGTGAATAGCTATCTATAATATATTATTTAAGTATATTTATAGAAGGTCAAATTACTAGAGTTTTAAAAGATGATATACTATTATTTGTTTTGCTCAGTATATATCTCAGAGTATATCCTTTGTGCTGAGAAAAATAGGGATACTACTAATCTATTGGAGTTGTTTTGTTGCGCTATCAGTTTGTATGAGAAATGCTCAGGATACCTTGTGGGATAAGTGTGGGGGAATGCATTAATCAGCTTCCATTTTCTGGCCCCCCCCCCCCTCTCTCTCTCTCTGCCGCTCCTTTTCAACCCAGAGTGCTCAGAGTTCTCTATCTGTTGTACATCATTCTTTTAACCAGAAAAGGGCTTTCATCTTCTGGATAATTCCAGAAAAGGGTTATCCCTTCCAGTAAATGAACTTGAAGCTTCATGTCATTTATGCCCACAAATCCTAAACCAAAGGAAACACAACTAATGCAGTCTTTTATCTAAAGAATGATAGCAGTTTGAGGGTCTGTTGTTAAAGAGAACTCACTTTATTAGAGAAGCAATATGAAAGTCTTCACTTACAAACGATCATGAGTATTTCTCACCACATGAATAACCCACAACCCACCAAAAACCCATCTGGCCTTACCTTAGCAAATTGTCAACATAACATGGCTTTATAGCGTCAAAGTGTGGCTTGACATTTGAATGGAAATAACGCCCTGAATTTTATCTGCAAACTAAATGGAAATAGTTGTTGAATATTTCCCCAGCCTTTACTAAGAAATTTTAATATTTTGTAAAGAAAAGATAACCTTAGCATGACGAAAACCAAAAAACCAGGGAGCAAGCTGTAGTACTTGAAGTTTCTGTAAGATCAGAGATCATGTTAATCAAGTTACCTAGTGGAAAATGCTGGGCATAGGCCACAGACATACAGCACAGGGCGGACTTTGCAGAAATAACCATTCAGGTCAAGTTACCTAGTGGAAAATGCTGGGCATAGGCCACAGACATGCAGCACAGTGCAGACTGCACAGAAATAAGCATTCAGGTCTTCAGATTGGACCTGCAACTTCTAGTTTGAGAGGTGTGGACTTTAATTTCTTTACTTGGGAAATTATCATGGTTTCTTTGTGTAACCAGCTAGCAGAATGTCAGTTTAGGCTTCTCAATGTAAACAAAGTTTTGAGAGGAGAGAAAAATGGAGGAAATAATAATTTGGCCACATATTCTCTCATCTTTTTTATTTTTTGCTTTGTAATACCAGCCTATAAATTTCAAGATAGTCTTTCCTAAAATGAAGTACTCAGAAAGCTTTTGATGAAGGCTTGCAAACAGACTTCAGTGCTTGGCTGTGGATTTCTGTGAATATATTTAACTGACCATTTAGTGTAAATTCCTTGAGTACTACTCATGATTGGGCAAAATAGTCCATGAGATTCTGTGATCAAACCCTTTGGTTATTTTCCAAAGTCAAGCTGGTTTGGAAGCTCTTCCTTTGGGAGTTAAAGCAGGTACTGTGCGGAACCTCCCAAATGAAATCACATTGCCGACTTGGTGCCCTGCTCTTCCAGACCGAGCTCAACCGCTCCTGAGTATTGCTCTGCAAAAGCTCTTGTTCTGTATTATGTTGTGCTGGGAAGTAGGGGCTGCCTCTGGGAGTCCCCCAGCTTCAGCTCTGGTCACTGCGAGGAGGCTGAGGGACAGTGGGAAGCGAGGAAAAGCGGGTGACGCTGTCCGTGGCACTCAACCTGGGAACCACCTTGCCATTTTCCTGATCCAGTGGATACTGGGAAAACTGGATCACTTCGTTCATTCCTGGGGATCGGGTCATTTCTGAAGTGGATCTTGGTTAGCTTCATGGGGCCCTAGGGGAGACTCTACCCAGTCCTGTACGCATAGGGTCTGAGGGCTGTGGACTGACCCAGGTCCAAACCTTTGGGGGATCTGGACTGGCCTCCTCTTTTGGGGTTGTGGGGAGGATGGCTTCTCTCTATTGTTAGCCTGCAGGCCCACACAGTGCCTGATATGGTGCCCTCCCTGGTTGGTACATCGCCGCACATGCTGAATTGATGGTCTTGAGCTTGAAGGGCATTTGCTGCCTTTAATAATTCTTAGTTCTGCTGCAATCTCAGCCTAGCATCAAAGGCCTAGGAAGACTCTTCAGGCGCGCTAGCACAAAGACTCCAGGAAGCCTAAGAAAGATTGTTTGGAGTCAGGTTTCCATGGGAAACCAATGCCTTACATTTATGCAGCACTTTGCAGTTTGCAGTTGGTATGATTCAGGCCCCCCCTTTCCCCTCCCCAGGGATCCTTTGCGATAATTATGGGTCATCATCACTCTTTGACCTGGGGGGAAACAAGTTCCCCCTGCGGTCCATCTCCCTTCACCTTGCGCAGGGGCCATGGGGACCCAGCAGTCTGACTTGGAGTGTGCCTGCCACTGCACGGAAATGGGCCACAGCTTCTGTGATCACCTGTTGGAAACTGAGGGCCTCTTCCTTGAGCACTGTCTCTTCCTCACAGCCCCAAAGGCCACTGTTTCCCTGGCAGCAGCCTGCTGCTGGGCTGAAGGTGAATTGGATTGGACCTAACCACTTGTGCTTCTTTCCTTTCACTATGTTATGCTGCTCATTAGGTGCTAGAGATCCCTGGCTGAAAGAGGTATTTAAAGAAATGGAGTTTGTCTTGTTTTCTTTTAAAATGTGTCAGAAGTCAGAGACTGAGCTCAGTGACTCAGGGTTAGGCCCTTAACCTTCCTCTCCCAATTTCTTATCCTGTAATTATGATTTCCTCAGATAGCCTTTAAGTCACAAATGAGATCATAGAGATGAAACAGATAAAAAGAAGATATATTTTTAAGTCTTTGAGGAGAGGTGCTATACAGATTCCAGCCATACCTAAATTCATGGACACATGCCTCTTTTAAGATGCTCTCATGGAAAGGTAATGTTTTGAAGTAGCCACAGATTTAAGGAGTAATTTAGGTACAGAGTATGCTCTTCCAAAAGTCAGTATGTATCGAGAAGCTGTCACGTCCAGTGGAGTTTTAGGGTGCATCTCTTCTTCAGTCTAACAATATAATATTCAATTGATTTTCTAATTTCCCTCCCAGTTTTTTTGTATACTTATTGCATGAAAGACATCAGCTCCTAGAGACGCAAGGTGACTGCCTGCCTCTGTATAGTTTTTGATCATATGTAATTAAAAAGGAAAGCCCCAGAAACTAGATTTTAACAACCCATACAAAATGGCCTGGGGAGGAGGAACAATCCTACCCCTCATGGAAAGCCATCCATCTCAGTGAACAAGATGTTGAACAGCTACATGCTTCTCTGTGTGTGAGACAGGAAGCCATGTCTTTACCCACTCTGTACATCTATACTGTCCCTATACCACAAAGACCACAGAAATCATTAAAAATGGATTCTACATGAAAAAAAAAAAAAAAGCTTTCATCTCCCTTGCTGTGAGATTTAACTGCTCTGTGTTGCTATTTCTCTACCAGGAGTCCAAAGGGGAAGCATGCCCCCTGGACACATTTAGCATCCCATAATAAATACCAGGATTTTAAATCACTATAGATTTTAATGTCCTTGCATGGTGGGGACGGGACTTTGTGCACTGCATGGTGTTGGGGGACAAGACATTAATGTGGAAATGCTACCTGCAATTTCATTGTAATTTCAATCTTGGTCACCGTATTCTCTTCAACAGAACTGAGAAAAAGAGGCATGGTTCATTTCTCCTGTTTTGTTTTTTGAAGTTGATTTGTAAGATAAAAATAAAAACAAGAGACAAGAAGTCTCATAAAATGACATGGAAAAAGCTTGAAATATACTACTGGTGTTCATTTTCTGCCCCGCAGTATTGCTTCCTCAAAGAAACTCCCTGGGAAGTGCTTGGTGGCTGGGCTTTTATCTTCTACAAAGGTTATGGTGCTCTCTGCTGGCTGTCACAAGAATAATTGCTTCTAGACGGTGTTTTCATTTTTAAAGATTTAATTATGTTGGGAAATCTATTTCAACAATAACTGATGTGATCTTGTCCAGTGTTCCTCAGTTTACAGGTTTGTTAGTATATGAAGATATTTTGTATTTTTCAAAATTGTCCACAAAATATGACTTGCACATTAGTTACCTGTTAGCATTACTAGGCACCCACATTTTGCAAAGAGAATTGTTTTCAACTTGCAGACAACACACAACATGTGGCATATAAGTTGCTTAAAGCACAAAGATATTTCTGTGAAAAATGAATGAAGAAAATAGTGAAATAGCGTAAGTGTCTTTATTTTGGATCAATCGATCAGAGGAAGTTAGCCTCCATTTCTGCTTGATTCACACCTCCTGAATTGCTGTCTACCCAAAGTGTTGTCATTTTTTTCCTCTCTCCCAATTATCGCCTTACATGCTGAGTCCCACCCTCTTTTTTCTCCATCTGGCCACCATGAGACATGTCTAGGCTCCCAGATGAGAGCAGGAAAAATTATTCTAGACCAAAGAGATTAGCAAAAGGCCATAGATGCAGTGTGTTCCAGATTTCTAGAACAACCTTGTATGAGTTTTCTTTTGCTTCTGTAACAAATGACCACAGATTTAGCAGCTTAAAAATGTGTTTGCTTACAGTTCTGAAGGTCAGAAACCTGACACTGGTCTCTTCGGGTTAAGATCGAGCTGACTGTTCCTTCTGGAGGCCGCAGAGAAGTCCCCTCCCTCTCCAGGTGTTCTGCGTTCTTTGCCTCTTAGCTCCCTTCTTCCACCTGCACAGTCAGCAATATTTCGTGTTTCTACACCTTTCCTCTCTAGTCACAGCTTCCTCAGACTAGCTCTTCTGAGGACACCTGGGATCACACCAGGCCCACGTGGATAGACTGTTTGAAGGTCAGTTGATCAGCAACTTGAACTCAATGTGCAACTCCCATTCCCCGTAGCCCTTACTTCCCCTTTGCGACACGTACGCAGGTTCCAGAGATGAAGACATGGTCCTTGTTCTGCCTGCTGCAAACCTCCATTTCAAATGTTCTGCTTGGTCCCCCAAAACCATCAACTTCTCCCAGATATTCCAGGATTTCCAAGTTTTAACTGCAAGCATGGAAATTCTTTGTCATATCGTGTGACTTGAACTTGAATCATCAAAATATGTTCACAATAGAAAGGTAATTCCATCTTTATGATGAGAAAAGAGAAAATTCTTAGCTTTCAGAATCACATGCACAGTGGTCTAACAGGTACAGTATTTTAGCAATCAGGCAAGGTTTTAACAAGACCTGTATTTAAAGACAAAGTTAGAAATTCACTTCCGAGAATCAAGCATCATAAAGCAGAGGGTATTTTAGGCCTTGAAATCTTAGGTTAATGAGCCACTCTGTGCCACGAGAGACTGACCACGGGGTTTGGCCAAGTCACATCTTCCTCTCTTGGGGAAGAGGAGAGAAACTCGTGTGAGTGTGTGATGATGTTTAAATGTACAGCTAAGCATAGAGTTTCCATGGGTCCTGTGACCTGTAAATCACAATCTGAGCATTGTGTTTATCTTTTCTCTTTAAAAACAAACCAACCAACCTGTATCTACAGGTAATTCCTTGATGCTATTAGTTTTTCCAGATCACATATTTTAGGAAATCATGAATATTCTATCAACACTGAAGTCTTCTGAGCATGTCTTGGCAGTTCTCTGCAGGGCCAACGGTGAAAGGTAAGGGACGAAAGCCTCAGGCAAACAGGATGCCTAGATATTTAGCTGGTTATCATCCTAGTGCCAAAGGCTATCGGTTTGGATGCTATGGGTGCCTTCCCAGATACCCCAGTTGCTCTGAGGTTCTGCAGCTAACAGCATCCCCCCATTCCAGAAAACTATCCTCAGCTAAATGAGAACCACTTAGAGTAAATAAACAATACTGCATCCAAGAGGAATGGTAGAAATTAGTGCCACCCTTAAAGACTTTAAGGATACAAGGGTAGTGAGGTTATGTTCCCCATCCCCAGCGAGGGTGGTTGTGTCCAATGACTGGCTGGGCCAGATGGCAGCACCTAGAAGTCATTAGCAAGGTAGTCAGAATTACCATAGTGGGCAGCAAGGTGGGAATGACAGCCTGGATCTGGCACTGAGCATATGGATCTTTGGAGATTGCTGAAAGGAAATGGTTTCCCTAGAGACACACTATATGGAAGCCAACAATATACATGTATTTTTCAAGGGGAATTGGAAACAGGGTCCAAATTGTTGCTGATCCCTAGGAGCCCCCAAGTATTATGGCCACTGTGTTAGGGTAGGATAGGGGCACATACAGGTCAAGTGAAAAATGGCCCATATCCCTAGTTTGTAAATATATACTTGAAATGGCCATACTTAGCAGCTGGAAGAACTCATGTCTGTTCTCTGACCAGTAATAGCTATTGTCATAAAAGGGGCCAGATAGAAGTCCCTGAAGCTGCCATTTGCAGGAAAGAGAGTAAGTACACGATACTGCATCCAAGAGGAATGGCAGAAATTAGTGCCACCCTTAAAGACTTTAAGGATACAAGGGTAGTGAGCCCCACTCCTACCTATTCAATTTAGCAATTTGGCTCCTCAAAAACCAAGATGGATCATGGCAAATTATAATGGGTTCTTGCAAACTGAAACCAAGTTAGAACCCCAATTGTAGCCTCCCTGTTGGCAGTGGCATCTTTACTGGAGCAGATTACAGCCTCAGGTACAGAGACTTTGGCTAGGTAAGTGAATTATTTTAGTGGATGCATAATACCCATCATGAAGGAGGACCAGAGGCACTCACATTTATATGAGATGGATGACAATACACATTTATGCCCTTGCTCCAGATATATAGTAAATGCTTCTGCTATGTGTCACTATGTAGTCATAAGGTGTCTGGACCACTTGAACATTCACAGAACTTCACATTGGCGCACTGTATTGATAATATCATGTAATAAACAATAAGAACTTGAACAAGAAGTGACAAGTGCTCTGGAGGCTGTGATTAGACACAGGAACTCCAGAGTGAGAGTTAAAGCCGACAAAGATCCAGGGGCCTGCCAAACAAGTGAAATATTTCAGGGCCTGTTGACCTAGGGCAAGCCAGGATATCTCATTCAAAGGATAAGTTATTGTACTTTGTACTTCTGCCAGTAAGAAAGAAGCATTATGTTTGGAGGGCTTATTCAAGTTTTCAAGGTAACATATTCTGTTCTTGGGAAGATTGTTCTGACTTCATTCATCGAGCCACATAGGAAGCTCCTAGTTTTCATTGGGGCCCAGAACAAGAATGGCTCTGCAGCAGAAATAGGCTGTGTTTCTTGGACCATGTGACTCAGAAGAGTCCGTGGTTAATAGAGATAAATAATACAGAAAGAACAGTATGGAGTCTGTGATAATCGCCAACATGAGAGTCACAGCATGGATCCCTAGGATTCTGGACCAAGGCCATGCCATCTACAGCAGGGCAAGAGTCACCATTAAAAAATAGCTCCTGACATGGTATTTAGCCCTGGTAGACACTAACTGGTAGAGTGTCTAACTGGGGTTATCAGCCAGAACTAATCATCAAGAAGTGTGTACTTTTAGACAGAAGTTTAAGGTGGTCCAGAAGTAATTCATTGTGACATGGAAGTGGAAATTCCAAGACTGGGCTTAAGTAGCTCTAAAGAGCACAAAAAAAACTGCAGGAACAGGTGACTTAGACACCCGTGTCCCTAAGCACTAATGCAGTTACCCCTTTCTCAGTTCATACATTTGACCTTGTGGGGGAGTTCTCATTGTCAGAAGAGGAAAATGACTGAACTTAGTTCATTAATAGGTCCATTTAATATGTGAAGTCAAGCCAAAAATGGATTGCTCAACTGCTTCTCTGTTAGGTGACAGTAAATGTCAGTGGTGAAAACCTCCCAGAAGTCAGATCTTCAGGCACGTGTTTGCTCATCCACTTTACATGGGGAGAGAAGTAGCCCAAGAACATTGAGGAAAAGGTGGTCTGGGGAAATAGGTTTGAGGATCTACCTGTGTGAGTAGCACAGTATGAGAGGATCTGCTCTTTGAATTGAATGTTAATGCCCACCAGAAAGCATCTGTTTCAGAAGAAACACTAAGCCAACACATGGACAGGATGAGTTGGCCAACTGATGTGCACCAGCCTCTGTTACTGACCACCACAAGGCTTGCACAATAGGGTCACGGACAGAGCAGCCATGGTGGGAGAGATGGAGGCTTAACCACAGGTCCCAAAATGTGTTCCCTTCCCAAGGCTGAAAGCTTCTGCTGCCGCTGAATATCTTGCCCACCAGTAGCAACACCTCTTGGGTCCCAAGAAGGTGTCAAGGACACCCTGCAGCTGTACTGGCAGTTGATGTGTTGGACCCCTTCCATGTGGGAAAAGGCAATTTTACATCTGAGTAGGATGGAGAAGGATCCACATATGGATTTGCCTTTCCTTTCTATAGCACCTGAGCCGACAGTACCATTAAGAGCTCACAGAATGTCTGATCCCAGGGATCCCACATAACATCAATATTATGGAATGAATGTTTCTTTGCCCTCAAAATTCATATACTGAAGTCAGATTCTCAAGGTGATGATATCTAGGGTGGGGCCTTCTGGTGGAGCCCTTCTGGATGCGACTAGGGACCTTGCAGGAAGCTCAGTTTCTTCCCGCAATGTGACGATACGATGGGAAATCAGGAGTCAGTCTGCAACCCAGAAGAGGGACCTCACCCTGGTTGGCACCCTGATCTCAGACTTTCAGCCTCCAGAACTGTGAGAACTAAATTTCTGTTGTTCATAAGCTACCCACATTATAGTGTTTGGTTCCAGCAGCCTGAGTTGATGAAGATAATCACCCTGGACAAGCAGCCTGTTGTTATGGCCAAGGAAGCGAGGCAGTGGGCATGTGCCATGGAATCCGATGATTCTATCATATTCTGTACATTCAGAAGTTGCTGGAATAAAGAGCTTGGAAAGTCACTTGAGGGTGCCTTTGAGGTACCCACTGGTGGAAGAC